AGGACATTTAGCATTAGCATTATGCTGAGGTCACATTTCCAAACCGGGGCCCGGTCGGGCAGCTTTCGCGAACAAAAAGTACGGTAAAAAGACAACAAAACACAAAAAGAGTTAAAAAGATAATGACGAGTACATTCGTGATAGGAATTGTTGATTTTTCGTTCATACAAACAGCCCGGCCGGGCCCCGGTTTGGAAATGTGACCCCAGCATAATACAAAGAGACAACAAACAATAGAAACAACTGCGATCTGAAACATTTTGTTAAGCGAAGGTAGAAAGCAAGTTAACATTTACCAAATACGTTAGCTAATTTTACTCGATAATTTTGTCGTGGAATTTCCTCAGATTCAGGCTAATTTTGTACTCTTGTAATTTCTCATACGTGTCCGACCTCGTTTGATGAACAGTCAAATTCTCAATGCTTCAAAATAGTGCGTATGCAGTACAGTTACACGGACATTTCTGGAAAGACCCCCTTATTTCCCCAGTACGTTTACTTTAACATGTGCGTAGCATTATGAAGAAGAACTTCATTGCACGACAATTGTATGGCAACAACTACTGAGCATAGTACACAAAGAAAAGAGTATATAGAATTAAAATTAACATCCTTATTACTAAAGCCTGGGGCGTAAACTAACCAGGATGGAACCCAGGCCATTACTGCCTGTGTAGGAGAGAATTTGTAAATATTGCTCCTCAAATGCAGTGGAAGACGAAATTCATTTCATCTCTAACTGTCCATTTTATGACGACATCAGAAAACAATTATTTAGCACCGTGTTCAAAATGCTCCCTTACTTCCCCACCGTTCCCTACCACAAAAAAACATTTTTACTACTAAAATCAAAGAACCCACATATTATAGAAGAAGTGGGTAAATTCGTCTTCCACTGCCTAAAAAGAAGAAGTCAAACCCAGTAAAACTAGTACCATGTATGTTGTAGAATATAGTATAATGCTAGGCGTAGATATAGTCTCACATACCACTGTATTTTCTTTCTTATGTTGTTTGTAACTAGCAATTAGCCCTCGGGCATGTATTTGCAATAAACTTTCATTGTTATTATTACTACACATCAAGAGCTAGAGATAATACAGTATACAATCAAGTTCGGCTAATCATGGGTTTCGGCATTTTTTTCTAATAACAAAACATTATGTAACATGTACGTTTTAACCACACCCAGAGCTACTTCAGAACGCACATGCCCTCGCTCACAAAAACGCACGCGTCTGTGATATCAACGCTGATTTGAGTCGTACTTACATCATCATCATCATCATCAATCATCCTCCGAAGAGGTGGAGCATACAAAGTTAGATCTCCAGAACTTTCTGTCCTTCATCACAGAGATAAGTTCCAGGCCCTGTAAGCCTGTTTCAGTTTCTATAAGTTTCTTAAGTGTTATATTTGGCCGTCCAACTCTTCTCTTTGTATCAGGGTTCCAGAGTAGAAGCCTACTGGCTGGTTCTTCACTACGCACAACATGACCGGCCAAGCTTAGTCGTCGACATTTAACTACTGTAGTTACATTTGGTAACGAACCATATAACTGTTCATTAGTAGTATGTTTCCACCATGGTGTATTGAAAACCACTCGCAACATCTTCGTGTATGTCCCGTTTAGTTTTCTAGAATGTGACATATTCATAATCCATGATTCTGACCCATACAAACATACGTACTTACGTAGAAATGAAACCAATCGCTTCGTACAGCCATGATTCTGACAGTCAAGATAAAGAATTAGCTTGAACAGGAGATTGTGATAGATCGCAGCTCCAACCTGATTTGAACCGTTGACGTGTGTGTGCTGGCGGGCAGTTTTAAGTACCCGGACACTGACACGCACCACTGGCTACATTGTTCACTACAGAAGGAAAAGGGGGGCCAAGCGGGCACTTGTCTGTTTTTGTTTTCGTTACATAAGATCTACCTCCAATACAAAGTCACGAAACTTACATTTATCATATAAGTTTCAGATCTATTTTTTGTTGATTTCTGATTGTAACCATTTCATTCGGTTGAAAGTTGGTTGGTTGAAATTTTAAGAATTCAAAGTGATTTGAGAGAAATAATTGATGACATGACTTCTTGGTTCACGTCGTAAATGAAGTGTGCTTAGTACGAATAACTAAAACAGTCTTAGCCGTCTCTAAACAAAAGATTTTCAATTGTGATCCTCTTAAAACTTCGGCTTAGTCATGTAGTGGTGTTGCTTTACATAATCGACTTTGTGTTGCTAAATAACCGTCTGTTTAAAGAACGACTCTTGACTGTGAATTGCTGACGCTTTCTAGACTCTTCAAACCGCCATGAGTGAGGCACTCGTGCTTATGTAAGAATACCTTATGTGAAGTACCTAATATTGTGTCACTGTGTCGAGTCGCCGGTGCATTGAATACAGTGTTTAACATCTCGATCAGTTTCCATACAAAGGATAGTGTCCTATCTGGACATCTAGTTACGTAAGGCCACAGCAAGTAATTTTTATGGATGACATCAGCGCGCGCATTAATTTTCGCTTGATTTCGGGAAAAAGAAATTTCGTTGCCTTCTGACAGTGGTCAACATGCCGAAAATGGGCAAAGATGTCTGTTGCCATGCCGGATGGCAGAGAGGAGACAAGAAAAGGTTCTGATTTAATGTTTTGTTCCTTACTTTGATGCAGTGATATGTGTTGTTGGCTTTGTATATGTGATGTTCCCACTGAATCAAAACCATTCGTACAATGATTGAGTCAAAATTTTAAAATGTAGGAACCTTGTTATTTTCACACACCCCCTTGTTTTTTTTTGCCCACTCGCATAAGATTTGGAGTCTGCGGAGGATGTCATCCATAAAATTTACTTGCTGTGGCCTAACGCTTTGTGGACGGACATTTGTGGCTCTCCAATAATACCGTGTTTCATGTTACTTGTTACCTCCGGTACCCCTATGTATACCTTTTGGTATTTGGTAGCTTAAGTGATGCTTGACATGATTATGTGACAATAATGCAACTAGAAAGGCCGACATTTGCTTGGGAGCAAATACAGCATATTTCAGTCCATCTCCCTCCCACGCAAAAGTGGACTATTCCAAACTCACCCCAGTGCAAAACTGGAAGATTCTCAAATAAATGAATTATATTAGAGCTATGTAATTGATAACAAAGATGCAAGATCAGCACTTTGAATCTCGACAGCTTTACTTACAAAATTTCACATCACTCTTATATATCGCACAATCTTATAGCAGGTATGTAAATACTAACAATGATGAGATTTGATACATTTTGAAGGTCTAATTGCAAAGAAAAGGAAACTATACATAACTTTGTAAATATATATAGATGAACTATAAAACTATACATACATACATATTGAACTATACATTAATTAAATGCACTATGACACTATACATAAATATTGAATAAGATGTACATGACTTACATATACTATAAAACACTACATTCATATATTGAATAATCTACATATGATTGACATGATTATATATATCATACATATACCATGCAACTACAAATATCAGATGTTGAATATGCTATACATGATTTGTGTATACTATGAAACTACTACAGTACCGTTCCCGTTATAGTTACAATCACCACCGTTACTATGATCGCATTTCTAACTCGTTAGTTTTCCGTTACTAACTGGTTACTTTTTCGTTACTAACCCGTTTACAAACGCGCTAGTATTGCATGATTTACTACCGGCGCACTGCTGGAACAGCGGAAGGAACGTTGATCTAGCCTGCATTTTACTATATTGTAACGTTTAAAACGTTTTAACGATCACCGGTGCATCAATTAGATCGATATTTTCTTTTGTCACTGTTGCCCAGGCAAGCGTTTCTATAGTTTGTCAACTTTATTTTACTGTTTTTCTCTGTTTGTTTACTTACTTTACCACCGAATATGCAATCCTAGATGATCTGAAGTTATCAATGCCCCGGTCCGCCGTACATTGTAATAGGCGGCGGGCGTGAGGTAACGTTAGGGATGTGCAAAAACATCGCGGAAAATGCCTATAACACTCGAAAAAAGGCAGCATATTTACACGTGCCTGCAAACATTTTATGGCTAATTCTAGGCCAGTTTTGGTGAGTTTTGTTATGTCCTTTTTTGTTTAGAGTGGGACCGGACGGAAAGCCGTGCCGCGACTCCATAATCGTCCGACTCCGTGCACTTCCGTGTTACATTACGTTGTACGTGACCAACAAAATTACGCCAAAGGCACCACAATCCCACATGTACATATATATTTATTCCCGAAAAAAATTCTTTTGAGTACGCATTTCGTCACTAGGATGTTGCTAATTAGTCGTAGAAATAAGGTATAAAGCAGCGTAAACATGTGGCTCGAGTTCTCTTCACTTCGCGCGCCCCGGCATGCAGCCGGCTTCGTTCTAGCCAATCAGAGCGCAGGTCATCAAAGGTGAACCAATCAGAGCGTAGCAGTGCTTTGCTACTTGCATATGTTAATGAAGCATGCAGGGTCCGTCCGTGCTGTTTGTGACAGCGAAGCTCTGCTGAGCGCGGCTGGAAATGTGTTTTGCAACTACATGTATATTTTTACGCGGCTTTTTTGACGTTTGACGCTGACTTCGGCACGATATGATCGCACTACCATGTACACGCTACCGGAGGCGGCAAATGAGTGGTCATTTTTACACAATCGTCGAGAAATTTTGGCGTTATGCACCCGGAAGTGCGCCGATATCGGTTTGCGTCCCCTCGATTTTTGACAGTTTCCCCCATCAAAATAAGAAACAAAACTACCGATATTAAATAGAACCATGTATTACAATTATCATTTCAACATGATTGATCTATAACATATTCCTTTCTAATATAAGTATAATATCATCATGGTTGTGGAAAGTCCTCAGGTAGCGAACCATTTAGTCGGCATGAGTTCTTGTGCCGCGCCGGGAGTGACGAATATTTTCTTACAAGTTACACATACCTTCCGAAAAACTTTGCGGCACCCAGGATTAGGATGGTCTGCATATTCCCTCGTCGTGATTGTAGATGACTGATGACGTAAAAATCTAGGTAACGTTACATAAAATTGAATGTGTGGGTCATTGTGCACGACTTACGTGCAACGTGACCTCAGGTAACCCGCAATGTTCGATGTGTTCGATGGCCAACGGCAGATAGAACGGGCATTCTTTAGATCGAACGTGGAACGGGTACAGCACTTTTGGCCCCTTTTTTGGCTGAAAATAGCTATTAAAGTCCCCTAAATGAGTCATTTGGAAATGGTGTATGCCAAACATGTGACTGCTATTCTGTAAACACATGTTCAAGGTACCCTTATACCGAATTTCAGATCATTTGGTTGTAAAACCAGCGCTCAGGATCCAAAAATCCATTTTTTGTCGAAAAATGCCCCAAAAAACCTTCATAAAAATGTTTCAAAGGCATGTATCAAAAAAATGAAAAAAAACGCCTAGGGCCCACTCTACCTCCTTGCCAAATTTCAGGTCATTTGACTAAAAAATGACAGAGTTGAATCCCTTTGCCTGTGTGGCAGGAGGAGAAGGAGAAGGAGAAGAAACATGAGGGAACACAATATATTTCATCCATACCATGGTATGGACTGAAATATAAATATCGTTGCAATTTGCATGATTAATGAGGAAATTCTATGAATCAGCTGCATTACATGACAGGACTATTCAAGCTTGTGACATATGTAATTGAGAACGATAGAAACACTGGCAGATATTGATTATGTAAATGAAGACTTAATTTGCATAATTAATGAGAAAATGTTATTATGCCATAATGGAAACTGCCTAGAATTTTATACTTAGGGTATTTGAAAGTTAAGTGAAGGTGAACATCATTAAACTTAACTTATTCAAATAAGGACCTCTTTTGCATAATTTATGAGGAAATGTTAGAATGGCATTCTTTGTTAAGATATAAGACTGTCGTTTGGTACCGGTGGAAAATATGATTAAATGATATAATTCATGCAAATGAAGATTTTATTTGTATAATCAGAAAGAATAATCTATAATTTGTCAGTCATAAAGATTAACATCATTTGACGAAGGTATGAGATCGTGGAACTCTAGTCATTATTGTTTTTCCTTCACGGAGTAATAAATAGAAAATATGAAATCATTGTATATATATCGCACCATTAAAGTTACCCTGGATGCCAAACTAGTATCGGGCCGTTAGCCGTTTTCCTTCGGCAGCCAAGAGCCCTTCGCCCGCCTATCTAAATTACCGCTACGGGGGAGTTGAGCCCGAGGGGTTTGTCCAACTCCCCCCGGGCTAGACTCCCCCGTAGCGGTAATTTACACCAGCGGGCGAAGGACTCTTGCGGCCCGGAAAACGAGTTCTGGCTTCCAGGGTACATCAAAGTGGACTAACCTTCTCTTGTAAGCTGCTCTGTCTTGTCCAGACTCTGTCCCGAAGTCCTGTCGAACTTCAAACTTCGTTTTCTTCCATTGAGATGACCTTGTCCGTAGGTATTTGCCCTTCAGAATTACCCCCCTCCCCAATCCCCACGTCTCCCGCGCTGAACACTAGGCCACGGGCGGAAGATCATCTCCTGACTCTGCGACCTTGGTTCTCCGGACCCCCTGACGCTCCCGGCTCTGTCCCTGCTCCTCGGCGGACGGGACTGGTACGAAGGCCGTGTCGGCGGGGAGCTCCGCGGCGCCCTTCGGGATCGCCTGCCGGGTTGCCGGGACGGCGTAATGCCGGCTGAACACTTTGCGCTCAATCCCTGATCCCGAAATCTCGCCAGACGCTGGGATCCCACCAGCATCGGATCCTGAGATCTGATCCTGCTCGGATCCTGAGATCTGATCCTGCTCGGATCCTGAGATCTGATCCTGCTCGGCGGATCCTGAGATCTGATCCTGCTTAGCGGATCCTGAGATCTGATCCGGCTTGGCGGATCCTGAGATCTGATCCTGCTCGGATCCAGATATCTGATCCTGCTCGGATCCTGAGATCTGATCCCGCTCGTAGTCTGAGATCTCACTGTCAAGATCTGAGCCTGAGAGCTCCTCCTCTGATGACCAAGTAATTGTGAATGAAGGCCTGGGCCTGGGTGCATCGGCGGACTCTACAAGAATGACACCTGCAGGGCGATACATATAGGAGGTTAGTCAAATACACTGTGAATGTGCCGAGCTAGAAACACTCGAAACGGATTTTTTTACATACGTAGAACCTATATAGCGAAGAGTTATGAAACGTTCATACTGGGAAGGAAGATTTTACCGTTTTCTGACTGACGAGGTTTTATTCACACGGTAGGGGCCTGCATATCAGAAAAGCTGAACATATCCCTACACCTGCTTGTAGTCTACTACATGTAAATCTGAGTACACTTGTTGTAGCAGAATTTGGACACTTTGTGCTAGTAATCCGCTTCTAATTTTTTCTACCCTACCCTACCCTACCCTACCCTACCCTACCCTACCCTACCCTACCCTACCCCTACCCTACCCCTACCC